TTTTATTTTTTAACATTTTTTTGACTGCACGAGACTTGCTCAGTTAGGCCGGTTGAACCCACCGGTTCATCGGTTAGGCCAATTGAACTGCTTCTGGCCCCATGTCTAGTTCTGGTTTGATTTTTCCTACACTAGTTGTAATAGTCTTTTAAGTTAGGGAAAAGTTTATATAGAGCCTAAGCTCTAAACAATCGAATTAGAGCCTACCTCAAACCTTTCACTGGTGAAAATCTATTTGTAGGCCCAATCCTGACCACCCGGTCAGATCCAATGAGCTAAGTTTGGGTCCAATTAACTTGAACCGAATAGGGTATGGCTCGAGTCTAGGTCTAACTTAAAACTTAGTCAGATCGGGTTAACCCTGACCCGACCCGACACCCCTAAGCCTAAGCCCTGGCCTTGCCTTATAAAGATATCTTGTTTAAAAATGAGTCTACAAGGCACTCTTGACTACAAGAGTACTTTATCCTAAACTGCCCTACATTCTTATTTTGAGGTTCGTTACAAAAAAGTAAATGAATTGTTAGTGCGATTAAAAAAGTATTAGGGGCCTATGCATAGAAAGTATGATAAGGGGATGAATCATAATTTCCCCCATCTTCTATGTACACTTGTCGCAAGGCATTTCTAATAGAGTATTTATGTTCTCAATGTCTAAATCAATAGTAATATTACAAGAGTTATATTTTGGATCTTCAAGGTCCGAAATATGGGCAATTTGGTCATTTCAAACAACATGATTGGGTAAAAACATTACAATACAAAAAATTGAGAGATTTCGAGCATGTTTGGTTGGTGTAAAAATATTCCCCGAAAAATATTTTCACAGTAAAATTGCTTTACATATATTAAGTAAGGAAAGAAAGCATATGAAAACAAAACCCATGGTAAAATATTTTACCATAAAATGAACCACTTTGCATGAATACAAAACCACCTCAACCCATGGGGAAGTATTTCCCAGGTTTTATTTTCATACGCAGACGCACTAATCATTATTCAAGATCCACTATTTATAATATAATATATATTATATAATATTTTATTTATTAAATAATATATTTAATAAATAAATAAATATGTAACTAATATTTAATATTTAATATTTAATATATAAATAAAATTTTATACTAAGCAATTTATTAGTTTATATTATATTATATACTAAACAATATATTAGTTTATATTATACTATATTATATATTATGTAATATTATATTATACATAACATTATGAGAAAGTATATAATAAGACTATTTACCTTTGGTACAAGGTGGTCACAATTATTCTTAACTATTGGATGTGAAATTAGGTGATTGCATTTATTTCATGGACCAAGCTCAAAGTGAAAAAGAAATTTTCTCGGATTTTGTAATAAACTCAAGCAATCAAATTTCACATCAGATGGTTGTAAGTAATTGTGACCTCCCTATAATAAAGATAAATGGTCTCATTTTATACAATCTCATTTATTATATAGGAAAAATTATTGATATTCCCCAAAGTTGACTTTCTAAACAGCCTACCCTTAACTTTTTTTTTATTGCAACTTTTATCCGAAAACTAACTTTTATAGCCCAAGTAAAAAAAAGGTCAAATAAAGACCAAAATGCCCTCCTTTAATATTGTCCATGCCTCTCTCTCATAGCACCCACAATCTTTTTTGTTTTCAAAAACTCACCCCTCTCTCTCCCCCCATCTAAAACCCAAGCCCTATTTTTTTCAACATAGCTCTCTCCGTCTCCAATGCACTGAGCTCTCTCTCTCCAAAGTACCGAGCTCTCTCTCTCTCCAAAGCATCGAGCTCTCTCTCTCTCTCTTTTGAAAATTAACACAATTCTTTTTTATTAAATAAAAAAATTGATACTAGACACAAGATATACAAGAAATAAAAGAAGATGAAGCATTAGAAAAAATTTACAAGCAGAGAGGTGGAGTTTGCTCTTCCTTTGGCTAAGGCATCTGTCTCCTCATTTGCCTCACGATAGCAATGATGCAAGTTAGCGGTGAAAAAAGAAAGGATGTTCTCAATCTCATTAAACAATACTCTAAGGCTCCATGGAACATTGAATTCTTCACGGCTCCAAGCTATGACATTTGCCGAATCTCCTTCAATAATCTTATGTCCTTCCCACTGTGAACAAAGTTTCAAACCCTTTAGGAGACCTCTAACCTCCGCTTTATTAGTGGTAGCAATACCACAAATGGCTTTATTAGTGGTAGCAATACCATAGCTTGCTGCTCATATATTGCCTAACTACTACCATCAAAGTTCAATTTGATTGAGTATAAAGGAGGAGGGGACCAAACTATAGCTCTTTGGGTAGATCTCATGTTGCCCAAGGTCACAACTGCTAAGGGGTTATTAATGATAAGACTATTTGGTGTAGAGCTACTATCTTTGTGAGATGAAAACCAATTTGCTGTTAAAGCTAAAATGTTAGAGTTTAGCATAGCAAAATCAGTAGAGATTCCTTCAAACACTCTTCGGTTTATCTCCTTCCACACACCCCAAAGGACAACCCGCATAGAATACTAAAATAATATTACCCATCTTTGGGATACTAGGGGATAACCATGGAGCGATAAGCAATTTGCAAAATTATGGAATTGGAATGGATAAGTTGAAACATTGGCGGACCCAATTCCAAATATTATAAATGAAAGGGCAGAAGAGGAATAAATGTTGGGTCATCTCATCGCTAGTTTTGTACAAATGTAGACATTGGGTATTATGAACTATCGCTTCCTTTAGTTATCCACAATGGCTAGCTTCTATCGACAAAGTATCCATAGAAACAACTGAACTTTAAGAGAAACATGGAATTTTTTTATCTGAGAAAGTCCTAAATCCAGTTGTTTATATCGATCGTAAAAGATGAGAGCATATGCTAACTTAATGTAAAATCCCTCGAGGTAGTAAGATCCCATATCACATCATCCAGTAGTTTAGGAAAAAGCTGAACATTATTTAACATGTCCAACAAGGTTTGATACTAATGGATAAAAGTATCAGTCATTCTCTTGTACTTGCAATAAATAGACCAAACAATATTAGTATGATTATCCCCACTAGGCTCCGTAATTGTAGCTAATGGGTTTGAGACTTTAAAAAATACTTCAGGAAAAAGGTATTTAAGACGGTAGTCACCAAACCATTTATCATATAAAAAATGTGTAGATTCTCCATTACCCACAACTTTCTGGAAATGACAAAGACAGATAGGTCTCTCAATGTCAATTGCCTCCAAATATGGGAAAGAGTGGCCTTATTCCTTGGGCTTTTTATAATGGGTGTAGTTTGTATAGAGCCTAGGCTCTAAACAATCAAATTAGAGCCTATTGTCAAGTAGTGTCGAGAAATGTAGTTTTAATATTGAAAATCTTTGTGATAGCCTTAAAATATATATTTTTATATTTATTTATAAAATTTAAAGCTTCAAAAATAGTGTAGATCGACAAATCTTTAAAATCTTGAAAATTTGAAAATTGATGCTATAAAAATACGTTACAAAATACACTATTTCCAAAACGTTGAAATCCATTTTTTTTTCATATCCATGCTTCGTGATGTCAAGATGATCAATTTGAAGATATTTGGGCATCAAAACAACCTCTTATAGTCAAAATTTTCAGGTAGGCTCAAAATTGATTGTTTCGAGCCTCGGCTCTATATAGACTTTCCCCTTTTATAATACCATAAACTTGATCGATCCCACATTTTTCTCTCAAAATTTCTACCCAAAGCGAATCTTGGTGGGTATGTACTCTCCACCACCATTTTAAAAGTAATGTAGAGTTCATGTTTTTCAATCTACAAATTCCCAAACCACCTTATTTTATAGGTGCATACACCTTTGCTCAACTAACCAAATGAATCACTTTCTTTTTTTCTTCATTCCCCCACAAAATGTTCCTCATAAGTCTCTCTAGGATGCTAATAATCTGGGGAGGCATTCTAAATAAAGACAAAATGTTCCTCATAAGTCTCTCTAGGATGTTAACAACATGACATTCTAAATAAAGACATATAATAGATTGGAAGGTTGGATATGGTAGATTTGATGAGTGTATATCGATCTCTCTCTCTTGCGCTTTCTCTCCAACGTCTGTCCGTCAATAGGAAACATGGTCTTGCACTAGATGCTTTCGGTCTGGCACTTCCAACTCTCGGTCCAACAATATTTACTCTTGGTTCGATGATTGTGCTCTGCGGTCCGGTTGTTGGTCGAGCATTGCCATCGGTCCGGCAATTTAAATTGCGGTCCGACAGGAGGTGCACTCAGTCTGGCATAGTATATTGGCAGTCCGACAGAAGGTGTCGTTGGTCGAACAAGGTTATATGGTCGACAAAAGGTGTATTGATCTCCGTTGAGCACGTGAAATAGCGCTTTGGCAAGATGTATTGTCGGTCCGACACTTCTTTGCCACGATCCGATAGTAAGCCAATTGTAATGGGTTGTGTGACGGATTGTTCTTATGACAGGGGTATCGGTCCGACAAGAATATATGCCGGATCGTCTTTGGTTATTGAGTATGGGGATTTGACACCAATATGTATAGATAAGGGCTTTTTTGTTTAAAGAAGTATGACTTTTTGACTTAAGGATATTTGTTATAAAAATTAGTTTTGGGATAAAAATTACAATAAAAAAAAAATTGGGGGAAGTTGTCTAAAAATTGTGCTTTGGGGTATCTATTATTTTCTTTAGTTTTTAATAAAAAATAATAGGTCCCCGATTTTTAATAGAAAATAATAAGTTGGGTCATGATTAGGTCCTCGATGGATCCATACTTCATCCACCAGGTTCACACCCAAACCCTGCCCAAGTCGTGTCGAACCATTAGAGCTGCGGGTCGGAACGACCCGATTCATATCCCTAATTAACCTCTCATGATTCCGCCCGGGAGTCCTCTATGTGGTCTTTCCGGTAGTTAAAATCATGAAGGCCCGGAACGTGCAAAACATTACCTTTCCAAATTCCTCTACCACGGTGTAATCGTATAATTACACGACCTGCTTCAAATACCCCTCTCGCCTAACACATTTTTTCACAGGTAATCTCTCTCGCGTTACTCTCTCTCTCAATTTTTTTTGAGCAGAGGCCATGTCTGCTAAAATTTCCTCAAATTCTGCAACAAACTCTAACAAGCCAATGGGGGGTGGCAAAGTTTCCTTCAAAGTCACTCTCACCTCTGATCCAAAGCTCCCCTTCAAAGTGTAAATGATCCTCTCCTTTGTTTTCATTGAATTAGGTTTTTCTATTTTCTTCTCACATGCAATTTAATTATGCATGATGCAACTAAAATTAAGATTTTTTTCGTTTTCTCTCTTCCAGTTTTAGTGTTCCAGAGGAAGCCCCTTTCACAGCGGTCTTGAAATTTGCTGCGGAAGAGTTCAAAGTGCCTCCTCAGACCAGCGCTATTATCACCAATGGTAATCTCCTATCTCTCTCTAGATTATAGCAGCCGAATCTATAGTTTATCCAGTCTGATGGCTCATTCTGAAATTTCCATCCTCTTGTTGTTTTATTTATAGTTTCTTAATTGTTGAATTTGGTGATATGAGAATCCATCCACTAAATTTTAATGGTCTGTCTTTCTAACTTCTGGAAACTTTAATTGATCCTGGCAAATCTGACTCAGAAAGTTTTTTTTTTTTAATGTAAAATAGTCGTTGTTTGCAGTCCGCCTGTTTATTATGGTACTATCTGTTATTTTGCTCTAAAAAAATTTATGTTTATATTCATCCTGCTTTCAAAATGCATGGTTTCATTGCAAGAAAGATTAATAGTGCAGGAGTCGGGCAAGTACCCCAAGTTGTGTGCAGAACTCAGGGTACACAAAAAAAAATTTGCAATTTTTTTTAAAAATTGTAAAAAATGTAGAAATGTTGTATCATATTTTATATGATTGGGATCTTTTTGGCAAAGATTGGTGAGTTTTTTTTTTTTAATAATCCCTATTTTTATATTTTTCTTTAAAGCTTATTTTAAAATTGTTTGGTTTTACTTTCGCTGCCTTTTTAAAATTTTTTTTTTTAAATTTTCATTTTTATTTGAGTTTATTTAGGGCCTTTTGGCCCTGTGCAGGACTCGCCCAGGTAACTTGACTCAGCCAATGGCCAAGTCCTTTGGCTGAGGCGAGTCCAGCACACTGAAGATTAATATTGGGTGTCTAATTTCCAATTTGGTAATGTAATTCGGTGCTGCTTAAGGCACACAATTTCTTTCACAATTGTTCCAAATATGTTTTGCTTAATATCTCAGTCATTCTATTCGAAATCACTTTGTGAATGGAAATTAAATTCTTTCCTCACTTTGCATGCAGATGGTGTTGGAATTAATCCACAACAAAGTGCAGGTTGGCCTCAAATATCCTTTCTACTTCTCATTTCCTTATAAGTTTTCTTAATCATGTGGAAATGACTACTGGACTAAGCTTTTATTTCTAAGATTGACACAAATCTGGTCTACGGAGTTTTTTTAGATAGAGACTCTGTATCAATTACCCCCCCTTTTTTTTGGTGAAATAACGGTATGCATTACTTTAGGGATATTGGATTACATTGTAATCTTAAGTTGATGTTTGCTGTGATTTTTCAATTAATATTCAATATTGTGAACAATCTAAATACTGGCTGGTGTTTTCAGGTAACGTATTTCTCAAGCATGGCTCTGAGTTGCGTCTTATTCCTCGCGATAGAGTTGGAGCAATTGATAAAAGAATTTAGTGTAATCTGTGACTGTATCCAGAGAGTTTCACACAATCTGGCTTACTAGTAATTCTCATAAATGAAGAATAATAGTTTGTTTAGCGTGTTTCAAGATGTGGATGGATACTTTTGTTATCTTATGAAGCAAGATCTTGTTGAAATCATATTGAATGGATTCATTATGTTTTATGAGGAGTTATATCAATCTACAAGCCCATGCTTCAATATTTTTCTTTCCTTTAGTAATACTTCAATACGGGAGGCGGCAGCTTCTATCTTTAGTTGATTGCAGCTAAGTAAAGGCAAATTCTACTTCTTCACAAGATTCAAAAGTCCATGTAATGAATCAAATGATTAGCTAAAGCCGAATAGCCTAATGTTCCTAAGATTCACGAGTTTATGATATTATTCAAATAGTTAGCTATAACCAAATAGCCTAACGTATAAATAATTGGCAATATGTTATTTTCTTTATTTCATTGATTATTGCTTTGGAATTTCTATGGAGTTTAGCTTATTCATGTAGATATCTGCCGTTAACTTATTATTATGAATTCGTGCTTCTGGTAACTGTTTCGTTTGAAAGTAATATGGTTTGCTTATTGTTGGTGGGAGTTTCAAGTTCAATTTAGTAACAACATTAATTTATCATATTCGCCTTAATAAATACCTCCAAATCAATTCCCACTATGCAAATTTCATTGCGACTCTAGTGGATTTGATGTGTCACACTTAGTGCAGTGATCTTTTTTTTTGTCTTTCTGAGAAAGGTACTGGGTTGTGGTTATCCTTTTCCTTAGTGCTACTTGAAAGCATCATTTCTGATATGTTGTGGCCCTAAAGGATTTATGGCTAACTACTCTTAAGGATTGTTCCACAGAGTTTGCTTATGACTCAAAACATGTCTTTGACTGTTTATTCAGTTAAAGCCTACTACTCGTTTCCTTAAACAATATGTTGCACGCTTATTGATTGTTTTATGACTCATGGAGTCCACTTGCTAATGTGACCAAATTGTGACCCTAATGAATCTGATTATTCAAAGTTTTGTACGAGTGACATAACCAGATGGAATTCCCATTGGGATTTGATACTTTGAAATAAGATGCACAACTACAGATGCAGGCATGGGGGTGTAAGGATATGATCTAACATTTCTCAAAATCCAGGACAAGGATGTGAGTACCCTCGCCAACTCAATGATGCACATAAATCATAGCTTATCTAGTGCATAAACATGTGTTTGACACGTTGATGTCTAATTTTATTCACATTGCATTGAATATTTTCTGTTCATGTTACTTAGGATTTATGAGTCTGTTCATGTTACTTAGAAATATTAGATCAATATTGGTGTCCTATAATGTTGACCCATACCCTTTTGGTCATTAAAGTTTCCTCAAAAAATGCTGTGTTTTGGGAGTAGTTAACACTTGTACCGAAAAGGTTGGCTATTTTGGTCATTTTAAACAATTCAAATTGTCTAAATTATTTATTCAAATTGCATATTGATAATTTCCTCAAAAAAAATGTTTATATTGATAATTTTGTAGGAATAACTACATGATAGCATCCATCTACTCATTGCTTTCCCGGTGAATTTTAACTATAACTATTACTTACAAGTGATTTCTCTGAGATCTTTTGGATTCTATGCAATGCTTAATCTATCATTTGATGTGTTCAGGATCTGTAATAGATTTAGTTGATTTATGATGTGATTTCTGCTTACTCCAGGGCCTTTTAATTCATTGAGTCATCTTTGTTTTGCCAAAAGCTTGGTAACATTATCTATATTCCTCATCTGTGGGCATGGAATTGATTGGTTTGCCAAAAGCTTGGTAATGTTATGGTTGTGCTTCCCTTAATGCATCTCTGTCTCTTTTTCATGAGCTCTCTCTCTCTCTCT